TGAGGGGGGGCTCTGAGCTGAGCTTGGGGCAGGCCGTTGAGGTGCCAGAGGGGGGTTCTATGTGCAGGCTCTGGCAGGGTGTTTGGCTGCAGGGGTGCTTGGGGCAAGGGCAGGGGTTTGGGGTGCAGGAGGAGGGTTCGTGACTGGGGTAGGATTTGGGATGTGAGCTCTAGCTGGGCCCTGCTTACCTCAGGTGGCTCCTGGGTGGTGGTGCAGTGGGGCTAAGGCACACTCACTCCTGCCCTGGCCCTGGCCCTGCACCACTCCCAGCAAACTCCATCCTAAGCAGCCAGCAAACTCCATCCTAAGTCCAGTTGTGTCCCCTCTCTGGTCTGTGGAGAAAGGATACAGAGTGGGAGGGGGCACCTTGACATCAGCACCTCTCTCTCCCTCCGCTGCAGCTCCTGAGGGGACAGCTCCAAAGCAAAGGGCAGGAGATGCAGAGCAGTGGGGGGAGGGGCAGCTGAAGTGCCTGCCCTTGATGACAGTCTCTTGGCCAAACCAGTCAGGATCACCTGTCACAGGCTCCGAGATCGACCAGAAGATTCTGATTGACTGGTTGGTGACCACTGCATGAAGAAGAGACATGCCTAACAGGGAAGTATGAGTTAAGCCACATGTCAGCCTGTTGAGGAACAAACATTCATATCTCTCTAGACCGGGGCACTCCCTGTCAACATCCTGGCCTGACTCCACTGCCTGGTGAAATCATTGACACCACTGTTGCAGGTGTCAGAATGATACTGTATTGATTTGAGACAATCCCCTTACCGCTGCTGGAGTCAAGGGAACATATCCATTGACCACTCTGAGTTTGGGTTAGGCCATTTGCACCTAACGTACTTGGCCGCCCATGTGTGTTTCTGTGCACACTTGCATAGAGCATAGGGACTTTGGCCCAAACTGTTACTATGTGCTTGAATGAACTCACATGGAAAAATGATAAAAGTCGAGAGTAGCCTCTCCCCCATAGGCAAATGCTTTTCCCAAAGCGATCAATAACTCTGCGTCTGACCTTTCAGTCCTCATCCTCCAAGGGAACTTGCGAAAGATGAGCCTGAGAACTGAAATGCCTAACCCTGCGAGCCACTCAGAACCATGGACTGGTTTTATGGCTCATTGGAACAATTTGTAACAACTCTGCCTACTAATCCTTAATTGCCCACTTCATGTACGTGGGCTCTTTCAGCGTTCACGGACCTCACATGCTTAACAATCTGTCCAAACTTATGTGTATCCAATCTCAGACACTGTGGGTAGCTTCCCCAGACCTGCAGAGGAGCTCGATGAAGCTTGAAAGTTTGTCTCTTCTACCAACAGAATTTGGTCCAGTAAAAGATGTTACCTCAGTCACCATGTCTTTTTGACATCCAGGGACCAGCACAGCTCCAACAACACTGCAAACAGATCCCCAAAGCTATTTAGGCTCCTACATTTCATTGAAGTCAAGGGCTGGGAGGTGGGATCTTCTTCCAGCAAAAAAATATTGATTCTGATTCAAAGTTTCCTTTACATTTCCTTAGAGGGTCTGAGCCTGCCTCTCAAAGGACTGCAGGCGGTGTAAAGCAATATTATAAAGAACAAGTGAACTTAGTAGGCTTGAGTCTCGCTTGCCTTGTACCGCCACACACTTATTTGCTCCTGTGTACTGCCTCAGCATGTTAGCATCTCACATCCCCTTTGCCCAGCCCTAGAGGATCCTACAAGATGCCTAGCAAGAGGCAACAGGTCTCTTTTCTGTCCTAAGGAAGAGCAGAAAAAATATAGCAAACATTTCATAACACTGAATGTCACACATTAAAAGAAGGAGGGTCAAAAGCATCGTGTTTGATACACCCAGCCTGACTCCGCCACCCTTCTTCCGTCAGTCCACAGGTTCAAACTTTATACAGCTGCATTTTCATTTTTATTGGGACCAGCTGACGACGGAAAACAAAGCGAGGTCCGGGCTGCTTCCGGCTGAGAGTTCCCAAGTAACACCGGAGCAGCGGGGACGGTGGGGGAGGCTGGAAAGAGGAGTGTTTCTATTTGCAGTTGAAAAAAAAAAGGATCATATTTGGCTTAGGAGGGAATTAAACTTCCAGTGCTGCAGTGTCTCCATTTAACATAACCTTGGAAGGGCGTTTTAAGAGCATTGTCCCCATCGCTGTTTGCTAAATCAGCCAGGCAAGATGAATTGTGGTTAATTATTCGTCAGTCCAGGATGTGTAATTTTTGAGTTAGTTATCGTATGTGAGAAAGGAGAGGAGGGGAAGCTCGAAAGCGCAGGATGAAGAGTCCCTTCTGCTTCCTGCTAACACTTGGCATTGTCCCACTTGCCCTACCATTCAGGAGAGGATAATAGACTAATTTCTAACGGGCACAGCAGCCTGGCTTGTTTTTACCACTCGTGCGCTATCAGAATTAACTCTACTGAAAAAAGAGTCATTTTCTGTACAAAAGATGATGTTATATTGGGAGAGCTGGGGTCCCACATCTATCAGAATTAACTCTACTGAAAAAAGAGTCATTTTCTGTACAAAAGATGGCTAAAGGAGAATGGAAAGTGCAGCGGGTTAGTGCCAGGATTCCATGTATTCCGTGGTCAGGACTGCCTCTTTGTCATACATGTGTACAGCACCTAGCATAGGGAGCCCTGACCTCAGCTATAATAATAAAAAATAAATAATAGTTCATTTCCCAATCACTAAGGCCCTTGTTCTGGAATGTACAGTGTACGGGAGGGCGAATGCATCCATGCTAAAGTTCAGCATGGCTCAACACAGCACCGGTGCATATGTGGTACCCTTTCAAAATCAGGCCCTACATTTGTGGCAGAACATTTGTCTTTACGGCAGAATTGTTTGCAAGACTTGAAGTAGGGAGCCATTCCCTGCTCTCAAACACAGTGTGCATCCTGTACAGTCTATTCCGGTGTTTTCCAATTGGTGCTCCGTGGAACCCCGGGGTTCTGCAAAGCAAAAGTAAGGGTTCCATGAGAACTTGGCACTCCCTCACCTCCCCTTAAAGAGACAGAGCCTTTTTGCGGTGGGACTCAGCGTTTTTTTTTTTTTTTTTTTCCTTAACAAATTTTACCTTGGCAACCGTAGCGGTTCCTTGAAATTCTTTTCAGGCTGAAAAGGGTTCCTTGGCCAAATAATTGGGAAACACTGGTATTCCATCTTCTCCCTGGGATTTGATTTTCTTAATTCAAAACCTAGCAATAATATTAGGGATGTTAAATATCGGTTAATTGAATAGTCGAGTAACCTCATGAATTCTTATCGGTTAGTCGACTATTCTATAGTCCCCGGAGGTGGGGCTGGTAGCCAGTGCACTCCAGCTCCACTCCTGAGGAGTGCCCTGCCACTCTGTGTGGGGTGCCAGGTGGGAGCTGGTTCACGAGGAGAGCCAGTTTAAAAACCAGCTCCCCTCGCAGACTGAATTTCTGTTGTCCTGTGCTTCTGCTTCTGATACAGAGTAAGCAGCTCAGGGTGGCAGCAGCCCCTGTCTGGGGGGAGGGTGGAGGGAAATGTGGGTAGTCTATAGCATTAACCTTTATGCTTTTGCTTATCAGATAATTGGTTAATCGACTACACGATTACATCCCTAAATAATATATGAATAAAGTTCAGCTCAAACCTTTGTGGCCTTGCCTTTTCTTAGGGATCCTCCTCCTGGGTAGATCAGCTCACACCTTAGATCCTCTCTTTGTAGAAAGCTCCTTCTACTTCCCTTATATTTGGGCAGTAGCAAACCATAGGCCTCTGTGAGTCAGTAGGACTCACTTAGCCCTTTCTCAGTCTAATCGACACTGACTACCAAGGTGAAGTGCCTTAGGCAAATGTGGCCAACCTGTTACACTGACCTTTCATTTGTGTTTATATTTAAAAAAAGAATAATTATTAATCTGTTTGTTTATAAAAACAGCAGCAACAGTTCTTCCAAACAAGGACAATGCGTGAGCAGTACAGTGACCTGTGCCTTAATCTGTAGGACAACATACATCTGAAACCTAAAGATTGCAATTTAAATATCCAGGTTAAGTCTAAATGGCCATTTTACTGTGATACAACTTTCTGGCTCAGGGGTGTGAAAAAACACCCTTCTAAGCACAGCAAGTTGAAGTGCTGTAGAGCACTCATGTAAATGGGCACGAGTGCTGTTAGCCACTCCCTCGAGGAGACGGTTTACAATAGGGATGTAAAAAATCATTTAAAAAGGTAAGCGTGTAACCACTAAAAATCCTATCAATTACACGGTTACACGCTGAAAGCTCTGCAGTATAAAGCTTAAATAAGTGCCCACAACAAAGCCTCCCCAGGAGCAATGTTCCCCCTAATTTTTCCATCCATGTGCAGAATAAATTTTGTTATGTGCACCAAAATATGTGCAGATGTGCACCACCAATAGAAACACATGATGCTGTGTGTGGGCAACTGTGGGCACTTTGTTAATCTGCTGGGAGGTGCCTGAATCTCTTCTGAGTGGGCACCCAAGCGCTCAGCTTACAGGGAACACTGCCGAGGAGGCTTTGCCAATGCAGCGAAGCCAGCAAGAGCTGCCAACTCTGCTCCCAGGGAGCCAGCGTGTAACCTGTGGTGGGGGGAGTCCAGGCTGGGCCTACCGCAGACGGGAGCTGCCTGTAAGCATTACCCATTTAGAGTGAGGCTTACTGGTTAACCAGTTAACCTTTCACCTCCCTAGAGCGCCCTTCCAGCACCCCAGCCATGGGCGTGCATCCACTTTACAGCACTCCCACAGCGGTGCTTTCATTGTAGACGCGGCGACAAAGCCCACCATCACTCGTTGTGTCACAGCTCTGATCAAAGCAGCATGAAGTGACAGGGCGCGACGCTGGCATTGCTGTGACATTCAGCTCTTTAAAGACAGACTTGCCGGGCTTGTGAAAGCACTCCGGGAAACCTGCCCGACCTGCGCGGCCGCATTGTGTGAGCTGAATCCGAAACCGGTTTGTATTCACGCTTGTTTGTTCCCCATCTCTTTCTTCCTCCTCGCAGGCCTGAATCTCGAATCTGGACTGGGATGTTACTGCTTGGGACGTGTTTGCTCTACTGTGCCAGGGTGTCCATGCCTATCTGTGCTGTGGCCATGAGCCGTCACTTCGACTGGGACAAGAAACAGTCCGGCATTGTTCTGAGCAGCTTCTTCTGGGGCTACTGCTTAACCCAGGTCATCGGAGGGCACCTCAGTGATCGGTACCACAACGCTCTTCTATTATCCCTCGCTCGGGTCTTGCAATAACAATTTATGGCAAAGTTGCCTTGTCCCCAACCTCCACCCCACAGGAGTGAGGACTGCTAAGCCACCTGTGATGTATTCATCTCTATAGCAAAAACACCGGATCCAAAGTCAACTGGAGTCAGCGGGAGTTTTCCCATTGACTTCAGTACGTTTTGGATCAGGCCCTATGGTTCTGGTCCAGCAGAACACTGAAGAATGTGCCTCAATTTATGTATGTGAGTGGTTCCCATTGATTTCTAAGTTGGTACTGATCTTAGGCTACATCTACACGACCGCAGGAAGTCGACATAAGCTATGCAACTCCAAGCTATGTGAATAATGTAGCTGGAGTCAATATGCCTTAAGTCAAGTTACTACGAGCTCTATGCTGGGAGAAATTCTCTCTTCGACTTCTCTTACTCTTCTCAACCTGGGCAGAGTAACAGGGTTGATGGGAGAGCGATCTGCAGTCGATTTTCACGTCTTCGCTAGACCCGCTAAATTGACCACCGGTGGATTGATTTGAGCATTGATCCAGGGTGTGGTGTAGATGAAGCCTCAAAGTTACACAGGTGCTTTGCTGGGCTGTGGCCCAAGTTCAGTTTAGGAATTACCTACATGCAAAAGTGTAGTGCTTTATACTATACTGGCATAGTTCAAGCTGCATAGCCCCTGCTACTCTGGACAGTTATATCAATAGGCATTTATACTAGGAATGTTTGAAAGTGGTTAATTAGGTAATTGTGTAACTGCTACAGGAACAGAACGGGCAGCCAGTGCATGCTGGGAGCCAGTTCCTGGTTGCCGGCCCCACTCTTGGGGTGCTGGCTGCGGGCTCCTCAGCATAAGCTTTATACTGCAGATCACACAGTGTGGGGCAGCAGCTGGCTCCCCAGGAACCGGTGCACATAAGAAACCAGATTTTAAGCTGGCTTCTGATGTGTACTAGCTCCTGTCTGCTGCTTCTGCTCCTGCAGAGCCAGCTGCCCCCTCACGCTGTTGTCTCACTCCTGGCTCTCAGTCCCGCTCCCAGGGATCCAGCTGCCACCCCATGCTACAGGCTCTGATACGGGGCGGGGGGTGGGGGCAGCCATCTCCCCAGGAGCAGGGCTGGGAGCCAACATGTAACCGTTATGGTAACTGATAGGATAATTCTTATCGATTAACCATTTAAATGGTTCCTCTGTTACATCCCTAGTTTATACTAGTACTACTTACTCCTGTATAGAAAAAGGAATAAGCTAGGCATACATAAGGCACTTTTATAATTGTGTGCATCCACACGAGGGGTTGTTCTGGGCACCACCAAAAATTGTACAACGCTGCCGCCCCCGCCTGCGGCTGCCCTCACATCACTAAGGTTGTAACTATGTGGACAGGAGTGGGGCCTCACTTTCCCCAACAGTCTGAATATGCCTGTGGTCAGTCACTCATCCCCATTGTCTGCTGCAGTTGGGGAGCAGATGGGTCTTTCCTTTGGGTACCCTTCACTCTCAGGGCATTCTAGGGCCTCTCAGGTGTGTAGGTAAATGGTAGGAATGATGCCATGTTCTGCTGCTGCTTGAGGGCACAGGACACATGGGGTATGTCTAGACTACATGGCTCCGTCGACGGAGCCATGTAAAATAGTTTACTTGGCATAGTCAAAGAAGTGGGGATTTAAATAATCCCCGGTTCATTAAAATAAAAATGGCCGCCATGCTGTACTGATGATCAGCTGATCCAGCACAGCGCGGCAGTCTAGACGTGGATCGGTCGAGAAGGGAAGCCTTTGTCGACCGCGCTGCATCTAGACTGCCGCGCTGTGCCAGATCAGCTGATCGTCGGCACAGCGCGGCAGCCATGGTTATTTTAATGCAGTGCTGAGTAAGCTATTTTACATGGCTCCGTCAACAGAGCCATGTAGTCTAGACATACCCATGCTGTGCAGAGATGACCCCAGGGGCAATGGGAAAGGCTCTACTTTGCACAGCTCCCTGCCATCCCTGAAAGCCTTAGTGGGGTGGGACGGTCAGATGGGCAGGCCTGGCTGACATTCCTGGGAAAAGAACCCTGAAGTCCTGGTTCCTAGTCCTTGCGCCCACCCCATCCCCTACCCACAGTCCCCTCTTGCGTCATTCTTGCTTATCTTTCAGGATCGGAGGAGAAAAAGTCCTCCTCCTCTCTGCATCTGCCTGGGGCTTCGTCACCGCGGTCACTCCCCTGTTCACCTACATCAGTTCTGCCCACCTGCTTTTCATGACCATCGCCCGATTCCTCATGGGACTGCTGCAAGGTGAGACGCAGGATGGTGCGTGCGTTCGTTCCGTTCTCCTGGGAACCTGCTTCTACTGAAACGCCTTGTAGGCTGGATTCGAATGAAAGGCATCATTGCAATGCATAAATTGCAGGGCCAGGGGTTAGAGTGAGCTTCTGTTTTGGAGCTGACCCCATGTTGGGAACTCTGATTATAAAACCTTGTGTGGCTGGTGTTGTACCTCGGTGTTTTCGTACCTCGGTACCTTCGGTGGTCTGGACTGTCAGTGTCAGCGTCGTCTGGTCAGGGTTGTCCTGGCGGGCTCCAGACAGGACCTCTACTCTGTTGGTGATAAACTTTCGGCTGCTTGCGTAACAATCGATACTCCCTTTATCTAGAGTGTTAGACCCCGTGCACTTGGGTCAACACAGGAGATCTCTGAGACGCCCCGGAAACGACAGATGCAGGCAAGGTTTGAAATCAGTCGAGCAGGTTTATTGTCAAATGCGAAGCTCTACCAGTTGGTAACAGAGATCAGTACAATGTTTCACCACTGGGCACTATGGCCTGCGTTGACACTATGCCCTACCAACACCGGGCAGGCCTATTGCCATATATCAGATATTAACAGCAGTTAGTCAAAGTGAAGCTACTGTGCATTCTGTAAGCTTAGGCAATGACATCTGCGGTTCAGGTGCCTAGTGCGCCCCCGCAAGGTCGGCTGGAGAGCACCCTCTGCGGTGTCCTTTTATAGACAGGTACAAACAACTTACATCATTTCTTTACGTACCAGGTTACCACCCTCTGTTGCCTAGTTACCACCCCTCACCTTATGGAAGGGGGGCTTACTTACTATCCTTCATGCCGTCAATTCTGGCCTGGTCCTGAACCTAGGTCGGTATGTGCATTAGTTTTTAGGGAGTTTTTGTACCAAGACATTTCTTATTAAGATGTTCCATTACTCCCCTTTGGCTCACAGTCTGTACCCAGTGCCTCCCTGTGTCCTTCCATGCTCGACCTAACTTACACAATCACACAATTATCAATAGGGCCTCTTTCTTGGCTCCTGTTACTGAACCAAAGTCTTGCTCACTAGATTGCAGGCCTGTTGCTGTTTCCATGTTGCAGGCCTTAGGCCTGCTGACTCCATATTACTGGCCCTCAACTTACTACAGCTGGGTGCAGAGAGGCTACCGAATGGGGCCCATGGAGAAAGACATCTATGATGAGAATGGTGCCATCACGCTAGGAAGCTTTCATCTCTCTGCCTCTCTCTGAAATGGTAAACATGCTTCAAAGCACCTGCATTTCGGGAGGTTTCTTTGGTCTTTCGTCTGAGCTCTGATCATTTGGGTTGTTTTTCTCTTCCCCCTTGTGGATCTTGGACCTGGATCTATAAACGCCAAGTGTGTGCTACCCAAAAGTTGGTCAGGTGACTTTTTCCAGTTAATCAATAAGAAATGCTGGGTTGTTTTCACGGTTTTCTGTCTGGGCTTTTCCCTCCACAAACAGGGGGTGCCTGATACATCATCGACTATATATTTGAGAGTTTGTCTGTCTGTGTGTTTGTTTGTCTGTCCAAGAACTCCTCTGAAATGGTAAGAGCTAGGACCATCAAATTTGGCATGCAGCTTCCTCTTATCCTCACTTACAGCAAGGTCAGGGTTTGGTTGTGCCAGGAAAATGGGATATGCCTGGAATGTGATTGCACCTCATAACACCGTACAGAAGAGACAGAATCACCAAGCAAGTGAGAGGGACTGGCTGAGGGTGCCCCCACCATTTGGGAATGCTCCAGACCTGAGTCTCCCACCCCTAGGTGCACTTTTGGGAGGGCGGAGGGTCTGAAGCTCTCCCCAGATTCATAGGGGGGACATTGCTGGCTGTGTCCCATCATCAGAGAGCAAGGAAAGCGCACAGTTTGCTGCATTCCTCACTCTGACTGGGAAGCGCATGGGGCAGACGAACCTGGACCTGCCCCAGCTGGGGGACATCACCACTCCCCCATCTGTGCCCGCTGGCGCTGCAGCAGCCAGAGAGATGAGGTGCTTTTCACCTGGCCCCAAGCTGATGCGGTGAGAGGGGGTTGGGGTAGTTCTCTCTCCCTGGGGCAGCCTGTGTCCTGAACCTCTCATCCTCAGTCCCACCCCAGAACACTGATTTCAGTGAAGCACAGGCATTTTCGTTTTATTTTCCAAAACCCGCAAATTAATTGAGTTAAGACCAAGCAACGCCGGGTAAATCATCTACTTATACAGAACTATCAGTTTTCGTTAACTACCAGGGTCACGGAGCTTGTCAGCAACAGCCTTTTTTCCTGTCTACTCTTTTTTTTTCTGTCTTTCTTTGTACTCCTCCTTTACTCTGTGTTTATTATTTGGGGCCAGACATTTATCAAGGACTAGGTAGCATCCATGACAATTTTAACCGTATACACGTTAGCCTGTGTGTTAACCACTGCAACAGCCGACCCATCCTAGAATTCCCCTTCTTTCCCCTGGGAGTTTCACATCCTCTCCACATCTGTCTCCATAGCAGCAGTTGGTTTCAATGCCGAGCTATTCCTTTGCAAAGTCTCTGCATGCTATCTCATCTAGCCCTGCTACTCAGCAGAGCACATGATGTTGGCATTCCCAGAACCTGGATGAATCACCATAAGAAGAAGCTGGCAACTGTTTAATAAGGATTAAAAGCTTTTCCAGCCCGGGGGAGGGCGGGAGGAGAAGGATCCGTTTTTGGTGTGGCTCAGTTATGGCGCAATGGTAAAATGTTGGCCTGATGGTGAAGGTTCACCAGCCTGTGTGTCACGAGAGCTGGGGCCAGTTCCCAGCTCTGCTCAGTCTCCTTGTGTGATCTTTGGCAAGTCACTAAATTTGTCTCTGCCTCACTTTCCTGGCTGCAAATGGGTATAACAGCCCTGCCTTATTGTGACTGCACCCCGACACAGTGGTGCAGTGAGCAGGGTAGATGTACACAGCTGGTTGCGCTGGATGCTAGCAGTGATTTTAAGTATGGGTTTTAGAAGGCAGACAAAGTGGTTACTGGTTTTTTATTTTCTGCTTGCTCATTTCTGGCAACTGGAGGCAGGAAAATCAGCCAAGTGAGTGAGAGTGAGGTTCAAAAGACACTGGAGCTGTACAGAACCCAAGCAGCAGACAGAGAGGCAGAATGTAAGAGACAAATGGATTAAAAGAGGCTTGAGATAGACGCTCACGCTGCCCATGAGTGAGGGCACGGTCACATCTGCCTCACAGGGATGTCGTGTGGATAAATGAATTCACACTTCGGAGGGGCTCACAATTACCATAAGGGGGGGGGGCATGGCGACAGAGATGGTACAATGAGCTTTCAAGTGACCATTGAGGGAACGGTGGGCTGGCATATGTCACACTGGCGTGTGACGCAGTCATTGCTTTGGGGACAGCAAAGAGCTCGTTGACTTGGTTGGACATTTATCGATGGTTGGATTTGATTTGACCACACTCACATACGGGCAGCAGGTTGACTGAGGCCTCCCCCGACTGACAATGGCTGACTCTTTTTCCACTCCTAGGTGTGTACTTCCCAGCTTTGGCCAGCCTCTATTCTCAGAAGGTCCGGGAGAGCGAGCGAGCTTTCACATGCAGCACAGTCGGGACTGGCTCTCAATTTGGGTAAGTCCCGGTAGGCCGATGTTTCCTTAGCTTTAAGCAGTAAATGCCAGAGTCTCAGAGGGATGCTGTAGGAGAGAAAGTGCCATTTAACTGCTGGAGGTTAAAACACCAGCCCACAAAGTACACCTGGAACTTCGGGTCCTGGAGGGCATCCATTCCCGTTGAAGAAAGCTCAGACGGTTGCTACAAAATATACACGCTCATTACAGAAGTTGTTGAGTCCTTGACAATGTTTTGTTCTTCCAAGTGTGTTGAGGATTTGTAGGATTTTTGTCTTTTGAACAGCGAGCTTCAAGGAGTTGCCATTTGGTTTTCTATAGGCGGTGGCAGCAGGAAGAGCAAGATGGACTATCTAGGATCATGAGTTCTGTTTTTGACCCTTTCACTAACTTGCTGCATGACCCAAGGCAGGTCACTGAACCTCCCTGAGCCTCAGTTTCTCTCTGTTAATTGAGGATTAATAATACTTTCCCTCCTTTGTAAAGCTCTTGAAGAATCTCCAATAGAAAGGGCTCTAGCACGCTTCAAGGCAGCAGTAGTATGTAATGCACCATATGTTCTGTCTTATGACTGCCTTATGCGGCTGGATGTACTCCTGGGTATAAATGGTGATCTTGCTAGGAAAACGAAGGGTATGTCTATGCTGCAATTAAACACTCATGGCTGGCCCCGGTCAGCTGACCCGGGCTCATAGAGCTTGGACTGCAGGGCTATAAAATGACAATGCAGACATCCAGGCTTGGGCTGGAGCAGGGGTCTCAAACTCACGGCCCACAGGCCACCTATGGCCCAAACAGTTTCACAATCTAGACTAGGAAGCTCTGAGGCCCAAGGTGTGTGTGTGTCCCTACACTGTCACGGTGTGTTCAGGGGACCCCCTGGTAATCCCCAAGGCCGGGTCCCTCAGAGGAGGTGGCTTTCTAGAATCATAGAACATTAGAACTAGAAGGGACCTTGAGAGGTCAGCCTCACGGCTGGACTAAGCATCATCTAGATTACTCCTGATAGATGCCCGTCTAACCTGCTCTTAAATATCTCCAGAGATGGAGATTCCACAACCTCCCTGGGCAATTTATTCCAGTATTTAACCACCGCAACAGTCAGCAAGTTTTTTCCTAATGTCCAACCTAAACCTCCCTTGCTGCAGTTTAAGCCCATTGCTTCTTGTTCTATCCTCAGAGGCCAGGAAGAACAAGTTTTCTCCCTCCTCCTTGTGACACCCTTTTAGACACCGGAAAACTGCTCTCTGTTTGGAGGAAGGGGTGCAATAGGGGGAAGAGAGCAGGATGGGGGCAGGAAGGGGTGGGGCTTGAGGGATGGGGATGGACATACCCAGGAGAGCTATGTCTTTGATGGACCCTGGGCAAGGTTGGGGAGGGGGCCTGGCACTGCACTCCCAGAAGGAGCAGGGCCTCAGGCAGAAGGGGTGGGATGGGGGCAGCCAGCTCTCAGCACTGCCTGGGCTGCTGTATCCCCCACCTCAAGGCTCCGGGCACCACTGCTGCCACAGTAGCCATGGCTGGGAACGCTGGGCCCTTTTGAATCACCAGGCCCCAGGGCAATTGCTCCCATTCTCCCTTCTCCGCATGCCTGACCATCACCCCCACAGGGACTCCCAGGTCGAATTGTGAAACAGCTCGGGCTGTAGGTGGCTTGCATGCCTCCAGTCTGAGACCCTGGGGCTGGAGCTCGAGCTCTAGGACTCTATGAGGGATGGGGAGAGTCCCAGTGCTGGGCTCTAGCCTGAGCCTAAATGTCTGCCCTGCAGCCCTATGGCCCCAGAGTATGGCCACAAGCTGACAGCTGCTTCACTGCTGTGCAGACACACCTAAGAGACTAAGAGCTCTTTCCATGCTGAATGTCCCATCTCCAGGCAGACAATCCACGTGTATCCGAGTGCTCTGTGGCACCCTGCCCTTGACAGGGATTTCAGATTTCAGGTCTGTGGCCGGTGTACGCTGACCGTGTTCCAACGACATCAGCTGAGGATTTAGCCCTAAGTGTCCAATGATAAGAGACCAAGCAGGTTCTTCTCCTGTGCAGTGCAATAAAAGAGTCGATTGTATCATGGGATGGGCTATAATAGCCAGGTAGCCTCTCTGCTTAGCATTATTGATTAGCCAGTGCAACAGCTTGTTAAGATGAACAGCTCCTGAGGGCTGGATAAACAACCCCCAGTAAACCAGTGTTGACTCAGTAGCACTTTCAGCATTGAGGAATGGATTGTGAGTTTGCCCAAAGCTCGCTCTTATCAGGCTCATGATCTCTCTGGCTTTTCCCTCCAGGACGCTGGTGATTGGTGGGGCAGGGTCCCTTCTTCTGGACTGGTATGGCTGGGAGAGTGTCTTCTATTTCTCTGGTTTGCTCACTTTGCTCTGGGTTTACTGCATGTGCAAATATATCCTGAATGAGAAAGGTAAGCCCCCTTCTTGGTCCCTTCCTACCGGCACCAGCTGATCACTCGGCTGTGCTGTGGAATGACAGAAAAGTGATGTATTGCAATTATCAGAGGGGTAGCCGTGTTAGTCTGAATCTGCAAAAGCAACAAGGAGTCCTGTGGCTCCTTATAGACTAACTGAAGTGTAGGAGCATAAGCTTTCGTGGGCAAAGACCCACTCATGCATCTGACGAAGTGGGTCTTTGCCCACGAAAGCTTATGCTCCTACACTTCAGTTAGTCTATAAGGTGCCACAGGACTCCTCGTTGGTATTGCAATTGTTAACCCTGGGGCAAATGCCAGATGGCACCACCTCCTCCTCCTCCTCTGGCTGGACTCTGAGTGGCACGTAGGTAGCCTCTGAGCAAGCCCCACATGTGATCTCTGTGACCGAAAGCCTCTCTTCCTGGTTTGTGAATTTCTCAGACACTTAGGCAGAAACTTAAATGTGTTGGGAACCTTTGCAGCAAAAATGTCGGTGGTGAGTGAGGTTAGGCACCTACAGTGGTTGGCATAGACTGCCGAATGGCAGAGGAGCCAGAATTGGGACTTAGGTCCTTAAGCCTGAGACTTAGGTGCCAAAGTCAGGGATTTAGGCACCTAAGTACCTTCCTGGAATGCAGCCAAACTGCTGCTAATGGTTTTTAGGCATTACAGAAAAGGAGAGTTTTAAGGAGGACCTTGAAGAGGAATAATTGGGTGGCTTTCTGTATATTTATGGGGAAGCTCCACAGAGTGGGGAGGGTACCAGCATCTGAACTGAGGCCCTGCCCTCTCTCTGCCTCTTCCTCCAAGGCTCTGTCCTTGGTCCACCTCTCCCAGGCCTTGCCTTCACTCTGCCTCTTCGCCCAAGGCTCGGCCTCCACTTGCTCCTCTCTGCCCCCTCCCTTCCTGTTGTTTGCCCTTAAATCCAGTAAAAAGTAGGAGGCCATGGCTGTCCCACTTTTAAAAGTGATGGGGGCCCCTGTGGGGAGCATCTCCCAAGTGTAAGGGGCAGCATGGGAGAAACACAAAGACGCTAGTTCGAAGATGTATCAGCTGAGCAATGGAGGCAGGCAGGAGTTGACAGTGAATGAGAGAGGATTGGTAAAGGTGGGGGGACAGGACTGTCCCTAGGGGGATGTGGGGCCTGAGGCGCCCTGCCTCTGGTCCATCCCACCCTGCCCCTTCCTGCCCCTGCCCAGCCCCCTTGCCAAAGCTCAGCAGCCTGCTCTGCTGCCCTCTCCCAGCCTCTAGTCTTCTGCTTCACCATGGCGACAGGAAGCGGAACACCCGAGAGCGGGCCAGGGTAGAGTGTAATAGCTGCTGGGTTGCTCCAGTTCCCACCACCACAGTGTGTGAGGGGCCCGACCCTCACTCCAGCCTAACGCCATGACCCCTAGGAACCTTCCAGGTCACCTTAGGACCCATCCATCGGATGACTGAGGTGGCCACTATGGGGTCCCCCAAAGTGAAAGGCCTGGGGGTGACTGCCCTGAGCTATCCCGGTGCGGGATAGGCCGTTAAGGGAAGACAAGTAGCCTATGTCTGATGCAATAGAGAAGGGGAACCAGAGGAGGGATGTGAAGGGAAGGGCAATGGGGACCAAGTGATGGGCAAGGAAAATGATCTTTGCAGCAACATTCTGAGTGGATGCGAGCAGGATAAGGTGGCATTTGTCGCTTTTATGGCTTAATGCCTAGATATTCTGGGGTTACCTTTTTGAATGCCCATTATAAGCAATTTTGAAATCGTGGGTTTAAGCCCTAGGATAGAACAGACCCAGTGTACTTGGCTGTGATATTTCTTCCCTGCAGAACTCATCGTTCGGTTAGACTATTTAGCAAAGAGCCTGTCGTTATCCAAACAGACCAAAGTTCCCTGGAAGCAGTTATTTAAAAAGGCCCCTATCTGGTAAGTCAATGTTACGGGCATGTGTGTTGTGCATGGCAGCCCCACTCCTTGCAGAATCTGGGTTTTTTTGTGGTTGTTGTTTCACCTTCCTTTCATTCTGGAGCCTTTATATCTTGCTCCTGGAGTTAACTACCTCCCCAAACTACTCCAGCAGAGGGCAGAATGGTGGGTCTTTCCAAGGTTGCTATTTTAATTTTATAGCTACAGGTTGAACCTCTCTAGTCCAGAGCTCTCTGGTCCGGAAACATCTGTCGTCCTGAATGATTTTAGTTAGCCAGATGTCCACTTTTCATGGGTGTGGCCAAGTTTCCTGCTGTCCCATAAAGTTTGTTTACAGCCACCAGTCCTGGCTCTCAGTATTCTGTACTGTTATTTAGCTCTAATTTACTCCTAAATGTCCTTAAATGACCCAGAAAGCAGTGGAAGTCTTGGTAATGCTGCTAGACAATATTGACCTCCCGTGGTCCGGAAAATTTGTTCGGAACTGGTTAAGTCCCGAGGGTGCCAGACTAGAGAGGTTCAACCTGTATTTATTTCTTAAGGAAGTTTTATCAGCTTTACAAATCATTGCCATGTAAACATCAGAGTCAACACAATAATCATTATGCCCCTGAGCTTATCACACCACTGAACTGGGCATTATAGCGTGAGTCTCTTTACACCATCCAATCCTCTGTGAATTATATTTGTCAGTGTTTCTGTTTTACAAGCAGTGCTTCTAACAGCCCAGGGCATAAGGCAGGGGTGGGCAATAAGCATCCTGCGAGCCAGATGCAGTTTGCCAGGGTTAGACCGTGGTGTGCTGCTAGATGTGTTATTTACCTCAGGTAGGGCCCAGGGCCGGTCTACGGGGTGGGCTAGCCGGGCAGCCGCCCAGGGCACCACCTATGGGGGATGCCCGGCTCCCAGCGGGCTGCAGTGGCCACCTGAGGCGGGGGCCGTGTTAACCGCTGCAGTCCCGGCCAGCAGTGCCCTTCCCCCCGCGGCCATAGGGCCCTGCACAGCTAGGCACAGCCGGCCCCGTGCTGCGCGCCATCAGCAGTGGCCGGGCCGACTGGGCAGCGCATGCTCCGTGCGTCCGCCCACGCGCCCCCAGGGCGGGCCTGCGCATGAGTTGTGCGCTCGGAGGTGGGGCTGTGCGCCCTGGGGGCGGAGCTGCACACCTGG